CCACTGGCTTCCCATCAAACAGAGGCTACAGTTCAAGATCCTGGTCCTCAACTTCAAAGCCCTCCATGGTCTTGCTCCCTCCTACCTCTGCAACCTCCTAACCACCTACCATCCTGCTCGCTCCCTCCACTCAGCATCGCTCTGGCCTGCTTCACGTCCCCCGCCTTGCTCGCCCCACTATTGGCGGGCCAGTTTGGGGGGTGGGAGTTGGAGAGAGAGAGAGAGAGAGAGGAAAGAAGAGGATGTGAAATGTGAAAAAATCATTTTGGGATTGGGTTGCACAATATTGCTTTGTGATCATTCTGGATGTCCCGAAGCAAATGTAGAATTTCTCTTTCCTCCCCTTGCACGTCTTTCCTTGACCAGGTGATTTGTAGTGATTGAATTGCTTCTGAATTCTGGGCGTACACAGTGGAAAACCGCAGCAGTGCAGAGATCACAGGTGAAAGAGCAATGTCGTCGTAACCGTGACCCAGTTTCCAGCTCCCAATTGTACAAACCAGTTTGGGTAGCTGAATAATAGAATAGCAGCACGTCAAAGATTTTGTGCACGTTTATTAATAATGCATTTACTTATGTCTAATTTTAGAAGAAAACGCTGAGCACCTGAACTCACAAATGCTTAATACATAGAGAAGACGGTTGGGTCTTCTTTACATTTTTATTTGCCAATTCCGTGTCATGATCTGGATTATTTTTCACTGAAGTTTGAGCAGGAGAGGAGACTGATTGATATCTCCCTCTTCCCCCCACACACCTTTCCACCTACTCCAGAGGTACTGCTCTAATTGTCATGCTATTTACTAATACTGAAGTGGACCAGGTCTTTAATTTAAACAATGGTGAGTGTTTGATAATTTAACTACTGGGTTGTTTTCCGGCCTTTGGTGTTGTTATTTTGGTGCAGGACCAATGGTACTTGCTCCAACAGAGTCCCACATATGAAACATGGGATGTTGTTCATTGTAGTGTTAACACATGGTCAGTCCATTATCTTGGAGTCCATTATTGTGGAGCCCTTTAGCGTGGTGATTAGAGCACTCGCCACACAAGCAAGAGAACCTGGGTTCGATGCCTGAGCATTGAACAATTTACCTTACTCCACACGCCTCTGTTTACCTAGCTGTAAGTTAAGAACCTGGTTGTTAGTTGATTGGCGGATTGCTTTTCCGGGGGTAATGATCTCTTCAAAAAAATGTTTTTTTAAAATAATTATTTGGTCACTTAATCCATGTCTGTTTGTGGGACACTGCTGTGCACAATTGGCTGTCGAGTCTCGCCCATGACATATTCACTTTACAGTATATTCTGTGAAGCGCTTTGAGATGTCTTAAAGACATGATAAGGTGCTATATCAAATGCAAGGATTATTATTAATGCCACTGAATGCCATCCAGTGGTGGTTGGACACATGGCTTTGCCAGAGAGGCACTAGGCAGCACAACAACAACAACAAAATTACATTTATAGAGTGCCTTTCATATCAGGAGGACGTTCCAAGGCGCTGGACAGTCAGTGGTCAAGATAGCTGTGGGTGCCTCAAACTAGACTGACCAGCAACATCTGAGGTACTGGCATCATAAATTGACCAACAGCTTGAAGCAGGCATTACTTTACTTTGCAAATGGCAGCACCTCCTTATTGCACTAGGATTCTTTAGTAAGTAAAAAAGTATTAATAACCTGTATGGTGGCTGCTTCTTTTCTCATGCGTGTTATCATTGACAAGCAAATTGTCTTCGAGCAGTTTTCAGATTTAATTTAATCACTCAAATCAAGAGCACAACAGGGTGCTTCTGTTAACAAGTTGGAAACATATCAGAACTTGTGAAGAGACACTGGTATTTATTACTGTGACTGTTTTGTACTCCCTGAAAGAGATAGAGATGAGCGAATTTTCAACATTTCTGATGGAAAGCTTATAACCAGTTTACCATTGTTCACTTGCAGAGCCTTCTTTGTTGGAGTAATTGTACATTTTATATTGCAAGGTAGTCATTTTTTTTCTTGGGCGGGGGGAAAGGTAATTGTTTTAATTCTTTTCCATCCTCTGCTGAAACATGCTGGGAATCTATTCCACAGCTTGACTATCTGGCCATTTTTCGCAAAAGCTTAGTCGGTGAGTATCGGCAGGTAAAGCCAGTTGGCGATGTGCCGTGGTTCTTCAAGATTAAGCTAACCCGAGTATTGATTGCAAATAAAAGGAGCAACATGGGCAAACCCGATGATGGCACCACATGCTGCCGACACGCATGCATGCAAGGCTCACTGAATAATACTCCAGTTAGGGAACCTGGCTGGCAAACTTGCGATCCTTCTGCTTTAGAAAAATTGGAGTTTGTACCACAGGAGGGAAAGCAACAACAAGATTACATTTGTATAGCGCCTTTCACGTTGGGAGGACGTCCCAAGGCGCTGAACAGAGTACAGCATTTCATACCCGAGCTGGGGTTGGGGGGGAAGGGAGGGTAGGGGAAGGTGGGTTGCCAATGGCATGGTCGAAGAGGAGGGTCTTGAGGCAGGACTTGAAGGAGGCTAAGGAGGGGGTGAGGTGGAGTGACTGGGGATGGAATTCCAGAGGTTGGGGGCAGAGTGGGTGAAGGCTCTCCCACCAATGGTGGGGCGGGTGGGTCGGGGGACGTGGAGCAGGCCAGAGCCGGCTGAGCGGAGGGAATGAGTGGGTCGGTAGGGGGTTAGGAGGTCGCAGAGGTAGGATGACATCTAAGTTCCTGATTGGCTTGGTGAGTTGCAGTGTGCAACCATGGAGGTTGATATTGCCAGGGCCTGAGATGCTGAGGGGCTGGCGCGAGCCATTCAGGAGGGCCTCAGTCTTGTTCACATTCAACTGTAGGCAGTTTGCCCTCATCCAAGACTTGATGTCCGACAGGCAGTCTGTCAGGACAGCAGTGGTCCTGGAGTTGAGAGTGGAGGCAGAAAGATAGAGTTGGGTGTCATCCACATACATGTGGAAGTTGACCCCATGTCTGCGGATGATGTCACCAAGGGGAAGCATGTAGATATTAAAGAGGAGAGGGCCAAGGACAGAGCCCTGGGGTTCGCCAGACTTGACAGTGCGGGGGCTGGAGGAGAAACCGTTAGAGGCAACAAAGTAGACACGGTGAGAGAGATAGGAATCGAATCAGGCAAGCATCACTTGATAAACAGTGAATGGAAGTTTTAAGACCCTTTGGAAGAATTCACTGGTCTCCAGGCTGTGGATTAGAAACAGGAGTTAAACTCTGACACAGCACAGTAACTTTTATTAGGTTGTAATAACTTTTATATTTTTATAACTGTGCTGCTTTGATTGAACTGCTGTTAGAATGTTTTTAAAGGTAAGGAGCTCAGTAAAATTTTGCAAGGTCCAGTACATTTAGGTTTGATATCATCCAGGTAATGCTCATCAATTGCAGGATTTGAGCCTGGTCTTGAAAGAGCAGAGTAGTTCTTGATTGACATTTAAGGCATCTCATATAAAGTGGCATGCTATACAGGGTAGGGTGGTCCTAGCTGGACAGGCAGTAGGAAACTTACCAGACAATATTCACAATGGCAGTTTTAGCTGGTTAAATGAACATTATCCCAATACATTACCCTGGGCTCTTGCCAATCTGTGCTTAATACTTTCCGGAATTAGGTAAACAGGGTGCGCCTCTCAGGGGAGAAATTGCGCATTCCAATCCAGACACAGGGAAATGTCCATGTGCAGGTGGTATACATATATGGAGTCTGTCTGGTTTCAATACTTTTAAGCACTGTGATGGGATTCCGCATATGTCAGACTCATAACCACTTAGCGCAATCTTGACTGATGATGATCCTGTCTTCAGCCAGCGTTCATACACATACATTCTTCAGCAAACTCCACTGGATAGCAATGGGAATGAGGATTCCTGGCTGTGGGTTCTACATCCAGCCTAACTCAGCATAGTCCTGGATTGAGCCCAAAATGTTAATTTTCTTAGTAAGTTTTTGCAATTCGCAAACTGGATTGTCAAAGAAATCTTTACAGTCTGAAAGAATCATTTTGCTGTAACGTTTATATATCAAACAGTTTGGAAAAGAAACAAAATACACCAGCAAACACAGCACAATCGGTTAAAAAAAGAGCATATGCTGATATCAGAATGCTACATTTACCAGATGGATTCAGTCTCATATAATAGTGTGAGGAAGAAGTTAGGTAGGAGGAAGGGTACATTATAGAGCGCTACTCTAGCCTCTGATAATCCAGAATAAAAAAATTGGCATGTAAATATGCTTAAGTACTTTTTAAACTCTTTTTTCCACAAAACATGCTGTAAACATTCCTATATTTGAGCCTGTGGTGCTTTCAATGGAATCTCTGTGTGATACTGTTTGTTGTGGATTTACTGTTAATCGGCATTTTCGTGGCCACGACAGAGAGTTCATTTCATTTGAGTCTCTGTAATTATTTGGGTTTGCTCTGCGGGACATCTGCAGCAACAGAAATGCCACTAGACATGTGTTCAAAGGATTGGACACATGTAGCCAAGGAAGAACAGCTGAGGCCAAGTTTCTGTTCAGAATCTTTGATTGGATTTGGACCATTTGTCTTCGATGTACCAATATGTACTAAAAAATCAGGGCTCTGTAATTGTCTGTAATGGAGTAGATCTGACAAACTAACATGCCATCAAAAATAGCGAGTATCTTCCCTCTTTACTGGGCTTTCACAGCCTGTGAATCTTGAGTGGATCCAAACACCTTTCAAAGTGGGCAGGCATTCAATGTAAATATAGGAGTGGGACCACAGTTTCCCAATTTATTGTCATACAGTGTTCCCTTGCCTAGGATGGGACGCTCCCTCATATACATTTATTTATGGGGTCTGGAAAAGAGGTTCACCATTTGCAAAATGTTCTGATTGTTTACAACCAAAGAAAAGTTACTTCTTATCAACGTTCAGTTCATTTGCTTCAGTGACTCTGTGTTCTTCAGTGTCTGTCCACGGTGACCATTTATTTTTCTTGTTTGCAGGCTACTTCCACGAACTCTTGGACCAATCTGAGAAAAATCTCCACAAGAAGATCCAGCAGATGCACAGGCAACTCTACACTGACAATGTTAAAACCTTCAAGGACCTGTTCAATGATTTGCGTCGCTACTACAAGGGGGCCAACATCAACCTGGAGGAAGCGCTGAATGAGTTCTGGACACGGTTGATGGAACGCCTCTTCAGACAGCACAGGCAGCTCAAATCGCAGCACCAGATTACTGACGACTACCTGGAGTGCATGGTTAAGCAGGCAGAGCAGATGAAGCCATTTGGCGATGTACCACGGTACTTCAAGATTAAGTTAACCCGAGTATTGATTGCGGCTCGCTCCTTCGTGCAGGGTCTCAGTATTGGCAGTGACGTGGTCAAGAAAGTGTCTCAGGTATGTGGATTTTATTTTTCTTTCAGATTCGGGCACTATTTGTGCCCATTGGTGATCGGTTAAGAGTAGATTGACCTCAACAATGAATCTGGCTGGAGTGGAATCTGCCCATGTATCAAAATGTCAGACCTGGGAGAAGCCACACTGTTACCTGGGAAGCCTGTGGGTGATTACCTTGGAGTTTATCACACAGATAGCTTATCAATATTAACCACCTTAAACCCTTGTCTGATTTGCGAAGTGCATTTTTTAACATTGCACAGTGGAAGAGTGTCAAACTGTGGCCTCAAGTTCCACACATCCCTTAATCCAGGCAAATGTCGCAGACAGAAACTCAGAATGTTGACAGCTGAGAATGAGAATAACGACATCTCAGGCCAGAGCCATGATGGTGACAACAGCCATTACAAATTACTTCAGCACGTCTTTTCATTAGTCTGTGAGACTGAGAGTTATTTCACAGCTTTCGGCTTGGACTGAGTGCGGTGAATGATTTACCAGATTGTAGATTTTCACTGGGGAAAAAACAAGGCAGGTTAACAATTTTGAACTGAATTAGCCGCTGGTTAAATTTCCACCCCTCCCCTGAAAATGTTCTCCCGAGCTCTCCTGAAGGAGCTGCCTTGCAAGTGCAAAGTGCTTGTCTGTATTTTACTTCAGCTGCCATTCTGCCTATGTGCCCCCCCAGATTGTTAATGCCAGAAGGTTATTCTATCATGGGAAGGGATTTTAGACAAGCCCAATCACATTCTTTTCCGACATCCACACCTGTATTCTCCAGCAGTGGAACTGGATAACAATTGGGGTGGGGGGGGACATTGGATGCTTTCTCAAACCCCTCCCCCCCCCCACCACACAGGTCACTGAAGCCAATGCCCACACTGCCATCTACTGAGACAAACTAACTTACAATCTGGTGTCTAGTTTTGTTACATTGAACCGGTTTCCATTACACCTGTGTGGCACAATGTTAAATGACACAAGATTTCCAAAGATATAATGATAATGTACAATAAACCAAACATACTGTAAACTATTTAAACCAAACACAGTTCACGTAAGGACAATTGAACAGAAAGGATCCTTCTTTTTGCGAGCTGCCCACACCTGCAGTAATGAAGCAAGAAATATTGGGACAGGTTCTGGCTGCTGATTCGATTGATCGTGAGAAAGGCTTGGAGGAACTGCTCCCACCTGCAGAGTGTCAGGAGCTCAGCTTTCAAAGGATAAACGGAGTGTGAATTGCATTCAGGGCAAGTTTTATGTAACGTGCTCCTGATGGATTTTGTAACCCGATTATGAAAGATGAGGAGACTGCACACTTCAGCTCCAGGGCTCTGAAGACAGAAAGCAAGGAAGTCTTCAAAGACTTGTTGAGGAAAAATGTAGCTTTGTTACAGCATGAGGGCAATAAATTATATTGAACAGCAGGAAATAAATACATATCCTTTGTTCATTTTTCTCTGCACTAAAATTCAGCCATTTAAGCTAATCCGGTATGAACTGAAAATTGAGAAGCAAAAGCACTGTGTGCAAAAGTAAGTGATTTAGTCGTGTTGGGGAGTCCAGTTCAGTGGCACATTGGTAACTGAAGTAACTTCAATGAGAAAATTCCAGGATTGTGTCTGAAATCAGACTCTGTTGAAACATTTTTAAAAATGTAATGAAACTGATTCCTATTTGCAAGGATTATTTCTTGTTCGCTGTGTGCTATTGCTCTCTTGAAGATGGGGGTGCAGTTCCACAGCTGTTGCTGTTTCAGTGCTGTCACCTCTTGTAATGATCTAGCAGCAGTTTCTGCAGTTGCTTCTTTGCCCTCTTGAGACCTGGAATCTCTGCCTTTTAATAGCACTGCCCTGGCAGAATTACATACCCATGGGATTACCTATTACCAAATGTTCTGCATACTGGATTTTTACAGAGGCTCATGAATAATTGCTCTTCAACTGGTGGAAATAATCACACAGACCAGATGTTTAGATGAAAAAAACGATCCATTTTATTCACAGAAATTAAACTATAAGACACAAAAACAAAGCATCAGTAATTTTCACAGTACTTGTAAAGTTAGCACTTGAGTGCAGATGGCACAATATTCCAAATTGTAATTCTTTAACAATTAGCATAGAGCAGTCAAGCCGTGAACCTTTAAACACCTGTTCCATTATCTGATACAATTTCAGCGCTTTATCTACAAATCCCTTTGCGGTCTCACTCCTATGTAGTTTTCTCCAGATGTACATTCCAACCAATACTGTCTACTCCTTTGCCTCTGATTATTGCTTGCTCCCCGCTCTCTTTGCTCCACTCTCAGCAGCGGTAGTTCATGCGCCAGCCCTCTGAAAACGTGCTTCCAAAGCTATTTTGCCTTGCCGCCTTCCAAGTCTCAAAATCTTAATGGCTTGTAAACTTTATGTTTCTAAATACATTTAAAGAAAGTGTGAGGAGAATCCAATCTGTAAGGTCATATACGTTACAGAACAACGTTTTAAATTCTAGGAATTTTTTTAAAATCCAGTACGACATCACTAAACCCAGTTCTTTGGGGAAATGAGCTTTCATTCTGGATCAAAGGTTTGGGATTGCTGTTTGGATGAGAAAACGGATTAGCTTTCTGGCTGATGAGGATTTCTGTTTACGCTAAAAGGAGAGTTGTTCAGAATCCTTAGTGTGAACGATAGAAAATGGCGAATACCTTCTAGAACTGTCATCGGCACCAACTACCCACTTCAGCTAAAGGGACTATAATTTATAAATTTGGTAAAGAATGTTCCATACTTTCACCTTCAGTACTTTTCTCTTGTCCCAATTTTGAATATTTGATCGATGGAGCCCATTAGAACACAAAAATAAAGTTGTGCCACTGGGCTTCTGTGTGGAACTCTTGAGTTTATTACTCAAATTGCTTCCATCATTACCAACACACATGGATCTACAACTATTGGCACTAGCTCAAAATGCCATTCTTGGCACAAATTTCTAACTGCATCATCAGTGTTTTTCAGTTAAAGTGGACATGGTATGAAAATATCATAGTCTCATCATTACCATTTACTAAAATCCCTGTGTTAGTTTTAAACCATATATGCCTTTCTTTCTTATCTCCCTGCTCCTCATCTCTAATTAGCCTTGCTGGTACACAGCCACATACATGTGCTAATTGAGAGGAACAGTTTAATTCCTGACCTTCCAGTGAATCACATTCATTCCATTCTATTTATAAATTACAGGGTTTGAGTAATGCTTTTGGATGTTTCATGTTCCACAGCTCATTCTTTGCAGGTTTTTCTCTTGTGTGCTTTAGTGTTCGAGGTGAGGGGACGTCAGTGCTAGGAATGTATCTCTGACCTGTTTTTTTCCATCCATTGTCAACGTCAAACACTCTCAGGTGAGGCACAGCATGGGTTAAATGCAACATAAATCTTTTTATTCAGTTCCCCATACAGTGATTCGAATCCAGCTAAAGCACAACTCCCTTTACATTGCTTCATCAATGTGGGTCGGGTCTTGGTAATCTCGGTGGAGTGCTCTCGTTGAAGCCAGGCTCCTTGACTGCCAATTTAGCATTAAATTATGGAACTGTCAGTGTTTTGAGAACATAGATTTTTTTTTGTAAAAACTCAACTGCTGAATTTGTTTGTTAACCACAAACCAGTGACATTTAGCTTCAATCATCTTCTACCAGGAAACAGTGGTTATTTATTACTGATACTGAAAGTGCTAAAACGTCCAGTTTTTTATATTAAGGGGAATTAAAAACCTACTCCTAATTAAGTCACATCTCCAGAGAGCACAAGAGCTTGCAGGCTGTGCACTAACTGTGGTTAGATGTTTGTGTATTCTTTAAGAAAGGATCATCCCCAGTGAACTATCTCTTGCATACATATTTGTTATTGTATGGTTGTGACACTTGGAAAACAAAGTCTTGGCTTTATTTAAAAAAAGTGTTATGGTGCTAAACCCAATACATGACAATATTTTTTATACATAAGATGTACAAGGCCATTCACGGCCTTGCTCCCTCCTACCTCTCCAACCTACTATCCCCCTACCTACCTGCCCGTACCCTCCGTTCCTCTGGCTCCGGTCTGCTCCACGTCCCCCGCCCAAACCGCCCTACCATCGGTGGTCGGGCCTTCAGCCTCTCAGCCCCCAGGCTCTGGAACTCCATCCCCCAGTGCCTTCGCCTTGCTTCCTCCCTTTCCTCCTTCAAGGCCGGTCTCAAAACCTTTCTCTTTGACCGAGCCTTCAGCTCCCCTCTCGACTCTCTTCCCCTCCTCGCTCCCTCCCTTCCCTCCCCTCACCCTGACCATTTCCCCCCTCCTCGCTCCCTCCCTTCCCTCCCCTCACCCTGACCATTTCCCCCTGCTCGGGTCATGACCCAACTGTGCAGCGCCTTGGGACGTCCTCCTGACGTGAAAGGCGCTTTATAAATGGAATCTTGTTGTTGTTGTTGTTGAATTGGCTTTGCAGATGGTCCTGGTGGTTCATTCATTGCCCAGTATGGAAATCTGCCTTATGGAAATTGATGTCCCAGGTTTGATCCCTGTACTGTGCTGAGTTAGCTTATCTCTGCGATGACAAAATTGTGATAACCCTATTGGAAAATTCACGTGAAGATGCCTGGTGATTAAGCTTGCATGCTATTTCCAACATCTGCTCCTCCCTCTCCTCCCCCCTCCCTAGTTCAAATATCTTGCTGACAGGTGAGGACAGCATTGGGCAAAGGATGATTCTTTCCAAAGTTATATGGCCTGCTGCCACTCAGTGTTTGAGCTCAGCCTTGAAGAACGGTCACTTGAACGAGCTGTAACACATGTCAGCACTTTCAGGAGCAGCAGGAGGGGGAGGATATATCCAGAGGTGACAATTTGCCTTTTACTACATTCATACACAGCTCTAAGTCGAACATAGCAACATACTGTATTCTGTATGTGAGTCAGTGCGGTTGGATTATAAAGGTGCATTTTTTGGAGTCAAGTTGTTTGAGTGAGGATTCT